GGGGAGGATATAAGGACGGGGTGTAGGAGGATGAATAAGGTGGAAATAGTACGTGCTCATGTACGAAAATAGAAAAATGAGACCTGTTGAAACTATTACAGGAATGGGGGAAGGAGAAATAAAGGAGAATGATGGAGGGGGTGGATTTAACTAAGATATAGTATAAGAACTTTTGTAAATAACACAATGTACTCTCATTATAATAATAATGATATAGTAAAAAAAGTAAAATAAAGTGAAAAAAATTAAAAAAGAGAAAGCAAAACATGAGATGACCAGGTTAACTCAAAGTTATGAATAACAGCATTAAATGTGAGTGGGTTATCATCCAACCCTAAAGCAAGGATTGTCAGATGGGAGAAAAATGCAAGGGACAACTACACCCTGTCAAAGGGAGACACAGTTTGCATTCAATGATACAAAGAATTTGACCAGCCATGAAACAATAGGAAAGCATCATCCACAAGCAAGCTGTATGGCAATAGTTGTATCAGGATGGAGAGACTTAAATTAGTAGCATATTTTTAAACACATACATTATAGACCAAGAGAGAATTGAATAAAATATTCAAAATCATGACAGAAAACAAAGAACAATAAAAAATACTATATCCATGAAGGTTGCCATTCTGAAATCAAGGAGAAATAAAGACCTCTCAAGACAGGGCAACATGGAGGGGAATTATCACAACTAATATGGCTGTATAAAGGATGCTTAAGGGAGTCCTATATTCAGAAGAGAAAGAAATAGAACTACCATCATGAAAATACATGAAAGTACAAAACCACTACAAGAGTAGATACACTAAAACCTGATCAGTCTGTAAGCCTTCAAACCACCACGATAAATTTAAATGGAAGAAACAAACAAGGGATATTCAAACACAAGAAAATTATCAAAATGATAAGAATAAGACTTTGCCTCCTAATTATAAACTTTAATGAAAATAGACGAAATTTTCAAATTAAAAGATATGAGTGGCTGAAGAGAGAAGAGAAAACCAAGCTCAACATTGCTGCCTGTAAGAAACTCATGTTACAGAGACTAAAAGGGAAGGATGAGAATTGATACCCACCCAAATGGAAACCAAAAGTGAGCAGAGATAGCCTAGCTTATATCTGACAATGTAGATTTTAAGACAAAAACTGTGAAAAGAAGCCAAGGTTTCTATATAAAGATCAAGGGATCAACTTAGCAAGAAGGTGTAAATATGTATGCTCCTTATATTTGAGCAACCAATTTTATAAACCAAAGGTGATTAGCTCAAAAAAGAGTGATAAACTCCAATACAGTAATAGTGGGAAGGGCTGGTGGAGCGCTTGCCCTGGCAAGAACAAGGTCTTCAGTTCAAACTCCAGTTCTGCAAAAAAGAAGCAAAACAAAAAAGTTGGAGACTTCAACACTCCACTATCATAAGTGAATAGATCAGAACAGAAAAAAATCAACAGACAGAGTGTTAACTACCCGTGGACCGAATGTACATAGCACAAAATTCTAGACACGTCATCCAGCACTTGATGAATACGACACGTGGAACTTGCCCTAAAATAGAGCATTATGAGGCTGAAATCAAGTCTCAACAAGTTTTTTCAAAAAGTGAAATCACATCTTATATCTTTTCTAACTACCATAGATGACAACCAGAAATCAACAATAGAAGCTTAGGAATTATAAAAAACATGGAGATTGAACAATACGTTTAAACAAATAATAAAATATTAAGGAGATCAAAAAGGAAACTTAAAATCTTCTTAAAACAAACAGAAATGGAAACTAACAGCCAAAACATGTTGGATGCAGCAAATTCAGCATAAAGAGGGAAGTTTTTACCAATAAGCAGAAACAGCCGAATACCAAAAGCACACAAGGGCACAAAAAAAGAAAACTAGAGCCCGAAACCCTGATGAACCATGAGGCAAAAATGTTCAGCAAACTACCAGCAAATCGAGCCGAACAGCACATCAAAAAAGATCATTAGCAGAGCTCATGGTTCCTGCCCGAAATTCCAGCTACCCAAGAGAACGGCAGTTTGAGGCCAGCCTGGGCAAATTTGTGAGAACACCTATCAACCAATAAAAAAGGTGGATGTGGTGGCACAAGCTTGTTATTGCAGCTGTGGAGGAAAACTAAATAAGAGGACCAAGGTCCAGGATGATCAGGGCATAAAAGTGAGACCCAAAATACCTAAAGAAGAAGGGCTGGGGTTCATGTGGTTGAGCTCCTGGCTAGCGAGAGCAGGGCCATGAGTTCAAAGCCCAGTGCCACCAATATATACCTACATATGCTTACAGCTGTAAATGTCCCTTCAGCACTGCTCTTCTGGCTTCCGACAAATGCGGTATGTCCTGTTGTAATTTTGTTTTGCTCCATGGTAGTTTCTACTTTCTCCCTTTACTTCTAAATATGTGTTGTTAAATTCCTTGCATCTGTCAATTTCCCATTTTCCTTGTGTTTTTGACTTCTATCTTTATCTCCCTTGTGTCAGGAGAAGAGCCTTGTGTGATTTTAGCATTCTCAGATGCACTGAGACTTGTTTTCTGGCCTGTGGTTTTTCTGGGACTCCGTTGGGCACACCTTTAGGAAGAATGTGTATCTGATTCTGTAGGAGGGAGTGTTCCATACATGCTGCTCGGTCTTGACTTATGGTGTAGCTATGCCATTTCCTCATTATTGGAAGTTTTTTGTCCCCATTTTTTCATCTGTTACAAAAATGCAGCATTTAGAACTCCAGTTAATATTTAAAACCTTTCTTTATCTCCCAGTGATTCCGTCAGTGTATCCTTAATATAATGGGGTCCCAAGAAAAATTGAGCCAATACTAGGTAGATATATAGAAAAGAAGGAATACAGGTATTTATTTTAAGGGTTGGTTTATGTGATTTTGGGTTCAGGAAATTTCAAAATGTGCAGGGCAGAGTGGGTGTCTGAAGACCCAGAGGAAAGTAGATTTTGCAGACCCCATGGAAAAGCTCTCAGAAGCAGTTACCCTCCAACCTCAGGGACCCTTGGCTTTTCTCCTTCTTTCCTCGGCCTAAGAGTTTGACTGACCACACACTCACTATGGAGCAGGATTTATGTTTCACAAAGCCTGGTGATTTAAATCTTATTCATACCTAACAATGCCTCCATAGTAATATCTGCATGTGTGTTTTACTTAATGGACTGGTGGTGGCCCTTTCCAAATTCATACGTGGACACCACTTCTAAAGAGGCGATGAAGGGTAAAGGAGATCCCATGCATGAAGTTCTAATCCAACAGGACTAGTGTCCTTACAGAAGAGAAGGAGAAAGCAGGAGGTCACCTGCACAGAGAAATGGCCATTGAGCTCGCAGGTAAGACAGCCACCTGCAATCCAGGTAGAGAAACCTACACTGCTGACGCCTCGATCTTGAACTCCTCACCTCTGGAACTTTGGGACACACCCATCTTGTCACCTGGGCACTTGCACATGGCTCCTTAAACCACAGGTAGTGTCCAAGTAAAAACAATATCAAGGACAGCCTCCCACCTAACACATGACTAACAACTCATTCACCTTTTGTATTCCACACACAGAAATGCATCAGACTACAAATCTTCTGCACAGCCAAAGAGCCTGTCAATGGACTGAAGAGACAACCTGAAGGATGGAAGAAAATATACAACAAGCACACATCTGGTAAACCACATACCTTAATATCCAAAGTATGTAAGGAGCTCAAACAAATCAAGAGTAGGAAAACAAAGAGCAGGATTAGTTAATGGGCAAGGGGTCTGGGTTGATACCTCTCAAAAAAAGACATAGAAATGGCCACCAAGTATACAAAAGATGCTCAATATCACCAATGGTTCAAATTAAAACCTCAATGAGATGTCACCTGGTTCCTGTAGAGTGGCTACTATCAAAAAGCTGGAAGATCACTAGCATCGTGGCAGATGTGGAGAAAAGGAACTTTGCACAGTCATATGGGGAAAAGATGCATGTTCCTCAGAAATAAAAAACAGGACTACCTTATGATCAAGCAATCTCATGGTTTTGATCCAAAAGGAACAGAACCAGGGACACCTGCCACCCATGTAAATGGCAGATTATCCACAAGAACCAAGATACAGGAGCAAACTAAGCACCCACGAATGGACAAATGGACACAACAGCTTTTGATTGAACCTTGAAGAGATGCAAACCATGGCATTTGCACCTATGTGGAAGAACCTGGAGAACATTAGGGTACTGGGGAAAGCAAGGCACAGACACTAGTCCTGCAGATCTAACTTCCGTGTGCAGTGTAAAAAGTCACACTCAGAATCTGAGCGTAGAGAGGTAGTTACAGTGGAAATAGAGCCCGGGGTCAGGAAGGTGTTGGTCAAAGGACACAAAGTTTCTTATGGCAGAGAGGAATAAGTTCAAGAGATCTAAGGAATGTGATAACTCCGTAAATTGCAATGTAGTGTATGTTTGAGAATTGCTGAGCATGTGGACTTGGTGTGTTCTCTCTGATCTAAGTAAGTTACTCAGTTTACCCCACACATTGTGCCTTCAGTTGATGGTTACCATCACGCTCTACAAGATGAATGTATCTGATTTTTACTTCTCAACTTGAAAAGTAGATACTTAAATGTGGATTACTGCAATTAATGCAAGCTTGTCCTCCTTGTCCGGCTATGGTTCTTCAGGGAAGGATGAATAATCATTGGCTCCATGACAAGATAAAATCCATCCATCTGACTACTCTCACCCCTGGGAGGAGGGAGAAGCCTCTGCCCACCATTGGCACCCTCTTCAGCTACCAATCCAGTCCCCGCACCTGCCCTCAGCTCCCGCCTACCACAGACCTTGCAGAGATGGGACCAGGCATCAAGCCAACTCTTTTCCTCATCTCCTGCCAGGGAACTCCAGCCCCGACGTTATCTGGGGCAAGTTCAGGAACACTTCCTCTTATGACGCTATCGGTCAACCAGTGGAGGACCCTGGTGAGATAAAAAGGACTTGAGCAGAAGAGGAGAAGGAGCAGCATCACAATGGGATTCCTGATGAAGGCAGGTGTGCAGCTGGCAGGGCCCTGGCCGTGCCTGCACGTGGCAAGGAGGACAGTAGGCACCAGAGCAGTGCCGGCCCCCAAGGCTGTGCTGCCCTTTGAAGCCATCCCTCGGTGCCCGGGCAACAAGTGGCTGAGGGTGCTTCGGATCTGGAAGGAGCAAGGCCATGGGAGCCTGCACCTGGACATGCACCGCACCTTCCAGGAGCTGGGGCCCATTTTCAGGTAAAGACCTCCCTGGTCCCTGCTGAGGACACCCAGCATCGTCTTCCCTGCTGGCTGCCCAGGCCCTGGCCAGGCACCTGGCACCACACTTCCCAGGGGTCTGCATCCTGAGGCAGGCAGGGAGGGTGGTAGTCAGCCTGAGTCATTCCTGAGGACAATGGCAGTCCAGGTGGGCTCACCGCGGAGGACATAGCAGAGCACTGATTTGGGAGAAGAGGGTTCAGGTCAGGAGGAGGTGAAGACAGTCAGCATCCACTCTGGACTGGTTTTGCAGAGGGGTCCAGGGAGGACAGGATTCTGTCCGTCAGGGTTTTGTGAATTTCCTCAGGTATGACCTGGGAAGAGCACAAACAGTATGGGTGATGCTGCCAGAGGACGCAGAAAGGCTGTACCAGAAGGATAACCTGCACCCCCACCGGGAGAACGTGGAGTCCTGGCTGGTCTACAAAGAACGTCGTGGGCAGAAATGTGGCGTGTTCTTACTGTGAGGAGCCCTTCCGGATGCAGACGGAGGGAGGTGGGATGGGCAGTCTAAACACAGACAGGATGAGGTCAGGGCAGACCTGCAAAGTTGTGTGGGTGGGAGGAGATTGAGTGACCACCGAGTATGGATGAGTACCTACCCCTGGACGTCCTGTCCTGTAGACGAGGGCAATAGCAGAGCAATGATTTCAGGCTTGAGAGTGGGCGAGAGGAGAATACTGAACCCCTCCATGAACTGAGAGATTCTGCATAGGCCGAGGTGTGGGAAGCAGTAAGTGGATGAGTTCTTTGTAGACAGAAGCAAAGTTCTAAGTGGGGTGACTCTGCTGGGATGGCTCCTTCCTGTACAAAATGGGCACACATAGACAAGTAAACAGCAGGCATATGGTGCTTGCTGTGGAACAGCTGCAAAGAGGTTATCACTGGGATGGGAAATGCTGAAAGAGAGAAGTCAGACCATGGCTGTCACCCCACTCCACGTCAGGAAATGAATGCTCTTGGTAACGGTAGGTTAGAAAAATGGACCCCATGACTGGGCCAGAGCTGAGTGCATTGGCCTGGTAGGGCTAGGAGAGTGTGGGCATGGGCCTCAGAAATATGTGGAGTTCTTGTGTGTGCATATCTGTAGGTATGGGTGTGTATTGTCTTTGCATGTGTGTTTCTGTGAGTGCATTTGCAGATGTGAGCATGGATGCTGTGCCTGTGTTTGTGCATACATACGCACTCGTGTGTGTCTGCAGACATGTGTTCTTCGGTCCTTTGTGACCACACATGTGTGCCTGTACTTGTGTTTGTGATAACTGCCCATAGTTGCAGGTTTTCGTCATAGAAACAGGAAGGTGTGTGTGCATGATTGTGGTTCAGACTGCAAATCTTCCTGTGTTTCACTGGAGTGTTTCTATGGGGCTCTGTGTTGTGATTTCTGGACATTGTGAGAGATCTGTCTTGGTTCCTGCTCCACAGAAGATGTAGAATATTCATGAAGACAGGAAGATGGTACTGACTGAAGGGAGCAGGCTCCATGGGAAGGTCAAGGAGGAGAAACCTGCCAGTGCTTCTCCCCTGTGGGTTGTGGTGTGGGCTAGGTAGGCAAAGCTTCAAAGGAGGCTCAACCTCTTCCTGGAAGAAAAGACCCCTGACCCAGTCAGGTCCAGCATGGGGAACACGTGTGCTGGGGTGGGAGCCGGAAAGTTCATAGGAACGAACCCCTGAGCACCTTCAAGAAGATCTGAGACTCACCCTCAGTTTAGGTTTCAGAGATCTTACACCAGCATTCAAAGGCCAGTAAGGGAGAAAGAGGTGCAGTCAGAAAGAGCAGCAGCCAGCCTGCTGTCATCTCCCAGCCCACCTGATCCCCTTGAGCAGAGGAAGATGGGGTACAGTTGGGGCTGGGCTTGTCTGGGGTGCCTCTCAAGTTCTGCTCCCTGCCTGCAGGAATGGGCCCGAATGGCGCTTCAACAGACTGCGACTGAACCCGAATGTGCTCTCACCAAAGGCCGTACAGAAATTCACCCCCCTGCTGGACACAGTGGCAAGGGAGTACACTGAGGACTTGAAGAAGAAGGTGTTACAGAACACCCGAGGGTGCCTGACCCTGGATGTCCAGCCTAGCATCTTTAAATATACTATAGAAGGTGTGCCTGTCTCAGGGTGCCTTGACACAGATGGGAGGGTTAGGAAGGGTGGGGAGGCAGCTTTAGGCCCTGGACTGCCTTGGGCTCAACAGTGCCATCATTTCTACAGCAGGCAATTTTGCTATTTTTGGAAAGCGGATGTTCCTCTTTGGTCATTACTCAAACTCTGAGAACCAGAAGTGCATCGATGCAGCGAAGGCCATGTTGAAATCCACTGGGCAGCTCTTGTTCTTGCCCAGAAGCCTGTCTCGCTGGACTAGCACCCATGTGTGGAAAGAGCACTTTGAGGCCTGGGACCACATCTCTGAACATGGTGAGGAACAGGGACCTGGGGAAGAGCCATGGCACAGAGTCACAATAGTCTCCGAATTTTCCATTCATCCTGCCCAGGGACACGCTGAGGCCACATTAAAGGGCTGTGTCCTCTTTGGGGTACTTGCAGAGACTTGGCAATAAGGCTGGACCTGCATAGACCCAGAGATCTTGGGAAAGGATCTGGGTGCTGTGGACGGGCAGGGTGGGTAACAAGCACAAAGGTGCTCATGGCTGCAAGGCCTGAGGGTGCTCCCCTCCCCTCCAGTGAACAGGAACATCCAGCAGGTGTATCAGGAGCTTGCCCAAGGCGGCACGCCGCAGAACCACGGCATCCTGTCAGAGCTGCTGCTGGGAGGAGACATGTCATTCGAGGTCATCAAGGCGAACACTCTGGAACTCTTTGCTGGGAGTATGGACACGGTCAGGCCACACTCTGCCCCGCCATTGAGCATGAAGCTCATCCTGACCCTCTGGCCATGTCCTTCTAAGTATGGTCACCTACAAGTTCCATCCCTAGTCTGCCGCACACTCCTGTCCACCAAACTAAGCCATGAGCTGCAAATCCATGGAAATCTTGGAGGGGAAGGAAAAGGGGAACACTTCTGGAAGGAGGAGAGGAAAAGGGGAACCTTTCTGGAAGGAAGAAAGGAAAAGGGGAACCTTTCTGGAGGGAGTGGAGTTTGCAGCACAGCTGGCAGAACCATGTTCAAGGCACAAGGCAGGTGCAACAAGCCCTGCTTACCAGCACCTTGGCCCCCAGAGGGATGTTGTGCAACCTGGGAGGACAGGCACAGGGACCACTGGAGGTTGCCCAGGGGAGCCTCCTATGTTAGTGTGGTCATTGAGGAAAGATGAGAGGAGGTTAGGACTACAGAAGGAGGAGCCAGGAGTTCTGCTGGTCCAGCAGGTAGTAGATGGCAGTACAGCTGAGAGGGGCAGGACTGGGCTCAAGTAAGAGTTTCCTGCCTGCAGACTGACCCTTCTCCCAGCAGCACCTTCCAAGAGCCTGCTTAGGGCAAGACCCCTACATTCACAATGGAGTCCTAGGTCCTGGAACAAGGGCCAGGATGTACCACTGGGGAAGAGGGCCTACTACCACACATCCCAGAAGCTTGAGGCCATGAAAGGAGAGTGAGGAGAGGAGAGTCCAGGGAAGGCATGCACAGCCCGGGCAGGAGGGCAGCCAGGCTGCGGGAGACTGGGGGAGGTGGACACAGATAAGACAGACAGAGGTCAGGACTGCCAAAAGGAGAGACCCCTTTCCTTGGCCTTCACAGCAAGGTATAAGAAGCCAGCCAGGGAGCAGGAGGTCAGAGTGAATTCCTAATATGCCTGTAGAGCCCCAGCGCACAGCATGGACTCCAGGCCCTGGCATCAGGGAGCTAAGGCCACATCTGTGACTCAGGGCACTCAGGGGTCCAGGGCCATGGAAGGAGGCACTTTGGAGATGCTGAGGCTCAGATTGTAGACTGGGGTGTTTCATGGTGGCAGGAACGATGCAGAAGGGGAAACTGATGGGGTCTGGGGTGTCAGTTCAGGTTGGGATGGTGAGGCCTGTGCTGAGGGTCCCGTGGACAGCCAGGCAGATAAGGCACTGGGGACAGGTGGACGGGGGCTCCAGGATGCCCCCAAGTGCTGTTAGAGCAGCCCTAAGGATAGCAGAGAGGGCCTGAGGTCCAGACATTGGGGAGGCCAAGGAGGAGGGTGGGTTGGGATGCAGGGGGCATTTAATTCAGGACTTAGGCAACACATAGATAGACATTAGGTCGGGGTCCCAGGCTTGGTCCAGCTCTGGACATGTATGTCCCCAACCCCTGGGAGATGCATCCTCCTGGGATAGACATTCCAGTGCTGAGGGCCCTGGACAATGCCCAGGTCTGAGCCTTTTCCCCATGGCCTCTGCAGACAGCTGTTCCCTTGTTGATGACACTCTTTGAGCTGGCTAGGAACCCTGACGTGCAAAAGGCCCTGCGCCAGGAGAGCCTGGCAGCCGAGGCCAGCATCTCTGGAAATCCCCAGAGGGCCACTACGGAGCTGCCCCTGCTGCGGGCTGCCATCAAAGAGACCTTGCGGTAGGTGTGGGCTGACCCTCCCCAGCTGGTCTGGCTCCTTTGCACTAAGGGGTAAAGACAGAGATGGGGCTGAGGAGGCATTTGCCAGGACCCATAGCCCCTCACCCTCTCTTCCATTCCCTGAAGGGTGGGGCACCGCCCTTTCTCTGGAACTCCATGTCAGCATCCTATGCTGCTCAGGATGGGAGAGGTTTGGCTGAGCAGCAGTGCAGGGAAGCCAATCTCATGACCAGGGCTGGCAGAGGAGATCCTACATAGCAGGATGCAGAAAGGACAGGAGGAGCCTGTCCTGTCTGAGGTCCCTCCCTGTTTGTGTCTTATTGGCAGGCTGTACCCCGTTGGTGTCTTTTTGAGTAGAAAACTGACGTCAGACTTGGTGCTTCAGAACTACCACATCCCGGCTGGGGTAGGTGAGCCCCAAATCCCTCGCAGAAGCCACATGGTACATCGCCCTACAGGGCCGCTGACTCCTCCCTCCGCGTCTGCTGCAGACACCCATCAATGTGCACCTGTACTCCACGGGCCGAAACCCCGCCGTGTTCCCGAGGCCAGAGCGCTACAGTCCCCAGCGCTGGCTGGACAGGAGGCTGCGTTTCCACCACCTGGCCTTTGGTTTTGGGGTGCGCCAGTGCCTGGGGAGACGCCTGGCAGAGACAAAGATGCTGCTGCTGCTGCATCACGTGAGCGCGAGGGGGCGGGGTCTGGAGGGGGCGGGGCCTCAGAGTGGGGCGGGGCCTCAGAGTAGGGCGGGGCCTGCATGGTGACCGGGGCCTTTTCAAATAGGATGGGACCTGGGCGGAGAATTCGTAATATTGCCCAATTCTGATGGGGAGGCCTCAGGCTCTTCACCTTAGGGCGAGGCCTGCAGAGAACCATACGCTGCTGTTCCGGGCAGCATGGTGGCAGCAGTGAGCACCTTGGGAGGAGTTTGGGTCAACACCCTGCCCTGCTGAGGTCAAACGGAAGCTTTGTCTCTGTCCCAGGTGCTGAAATCCTTCAGCGTGGAGACACTACACAAAAAGGATTTAAATTTGGTCTACCATTTCGTTTTGATGCCCGCCTCCTTTCCCCTCCTCACCTTACGTCCTGTCCACTAGTGCCCCCTCTGCATCAAAGGCATCAGCCAGTCGACCCGCGTCCCTCTACCCTGTCCCCAGGCCATCCGCCCCTTTCTCTCTCAAGGAACTGCTTTCAGCAAGCCCTGTGCACACATGGAAAAGCTGCAGCCCTCCTGGTCAGTGTTTGCCAGGCCAGGCCAGGACCTAGGAGGACCTCGGTGGCAGGTGGTGGCTTTGTCCCCAGTGTCACTCAGCTCCTTCTCCAGCAAGTAGTCTCTGCTGGGACACTTTCTCCTTCCCTCCCAGCAGTTGCTCCAGCCTCCTCATGTTTTCCTCCACAGCCCCTCAGATCCCACCCTTGCCTTCCTGTCCACTATCATGTACCCATGGCAACCTCTCCCTCTCCAATTTCCCACAATATCAGTAGGTGGTTTGAGATTGTGAGAGGGGACCCAGCATTGAGAGCCCAGGTTGAGACTCTCCTGCTGTGGCCTTCCTTCCCAAGCTGCTCAAAACATGAGAAGCTGTTGCAATTCGCCATCATGGGGGGAGACCCTGCAGATCAGAGTGCAAAGGCCTTGGGGGTGACTCATCCTGACCCATCCTCCTTTCCAAGATGAGAAAACTGAGTCTGGACAGAGCTGATCCCACAGCTAAGTGGAGTCTGCCACAAGACTCAGCCTCTATCACCTTGGGGTTGCAGGACCAGTGGGTGACCAGAGTTCAGCCCCCAGAGCAGTGCTGAGGGGTAGAAGCTAAAAGGAGATGGAGGTTGCCTGTGGGGCACAAAAAAGCTTGGATCACTGAAAACTGGCTCTTATCAGCAGAGTCTTCACATATGTCCCCTGGTCAACACTTGAGCACATAACATATGCCATCACCTGTGTGGGCAATCAGGACATGCTTCCATCCACCCTTATGTGTTCCTCATGCCACAGAGAAAATGTACACCTGGGTCCCTGGCCTTGCTCCAGCCCACAACTTCAGGGAGAGGATGTGCCCTGGTTAGGACCACAGCCAACACACTGTCTTCCTCTCTGTCCCTTCCAGCTGCTCTAATAAAATGTCATACAACAGTATCTTCTGAAGAACAGAAATTCATTTCTGGAAACTGGCAAGTCCACGATCAAAGCAATAGTGTGTTCTGTATCTGGTAAAGAAGGACTGAGTCCCTGGCTTAAAGGTGGGACCTTCTCCCCGTGTCCTCACATGGTGAAAAAGGGCAAGGAAGCTCTCAGGTCCTCTTTTATGCGGACGCCAATGTTCCTCATGAGGGCTCTGCCACCTGTACCTGATACCCTCTTACTGCCCCACTGTCTTCTTACCATGACATCGATGATTAGCTTGCAACAAGCAAATACCACCCACGTCTGATATGGGTGAGACACAAGGTACAAGGCTTCCTGAGTCAAACTGTTCCCGTTGTGCCCTGGGAAATCCATCAAGTTACATGCTTCCAAAATTCAATGGCTGCACAGGTGTGTGATAGATGATCACTTTTCAACCAGGACAAGGGGAAAGAAGAAGGAAGTAACATGCCTTAAGTTGCTCTGAAAACCAAAAGACTAAGCAAGGTTAAATGTTACAGTTCAAGAAATTCTCTGATGGCATGTCCTGCCTTACAGACATCCTGGGACAGGAGTTGGGCCCCCATGGTTCCAGGACACCTTGCCCTGTGGCTGTCCTCAGCAAAGGCCATGCCACAGCTCTCACAGCTGCAGTTTCAAGGCTGCTGTTCTCCTAAAACCCAATCCCCCATGGGTCTTGTTTCTTCACTGGGCACTACTTTCTCAGAATTCCTCTGCCTAGGACCTGCACCTGCCCCTCTGGGAATCTCATCTTTGCTGGCTGGTCAGTGAGAACCCTGCCCCACAGCTTTTCCCTCTGTACTCTAGTGGAGATGGACCCACAGGAGCATCCCCTGGAAGTGTAGCCACCGAAACCCAGGACACACCTGGGCCTGCTCGACCCACACTTGGGTGGGAAACATCAAGTCTCCAGAACATAAGCAAAAGACCCCTGAAACCGCAGTAGGTGGTGTGTACCAAGGCACTGGGGGAACCTCTGGACGCTCCGTGGCTCCTTGAAAAATATCTTCTTTTTAATTGCACTGTAGTTTGAACTCAGGGCTTCCTGCTTAGGTGCCCTGACCCAATCCCTTTTTGCCCTGGTATTTTTCAGATAGGGCTGTTCTTCAGGGACAGCCTGGACCTCAGTCCTCCAATTTATGCTTCACTCAGTAGCTGAGATAACAAGCGTGTGCTATCACACCCAGTTATTTGTTGAGATAGGGTGTCCTGAACTATTTCCAAGGGATGGCCTTGAACTGTGATCCTTCAGATCTCAGCTTCCTGAGAAGCTGAGATTATAAGTGTGAGCTACTGGAGCCCAGCTTCATTTGAAAACCTTGCAGTCTGGCTTTGTGATGGCTGTGGCAGTCACAGTGGCTTCTGAAATGCCTGCATGTACATTCTTCCCTTGCCTTGAACAATAAATCTGGGTGATCCATTTTAATCTGATTATCAGATTGTGTTCTGGAAATTCCCTCTGGAGCTCACTGTCTCATAGTTTGCAATGTGGACTGGCTAAGATTTCCAAATCTTCAAATTCTGAGTCCTTTGACATGAAAACTTCCACATTTAACACATCTCAGTGTAGAGAAAGTGTTTTTAATTCAGAAAATGGAAGCTTGATAAATTTGATGTCATAATAAATTTTCTGCATTACATTGCAAAGACAACTGATGAATTGGTCTAAAATAGTTCTAAAATACAAATACAGTGTTAAATTCCTTAATATTAAAGTCACCTTACATATAGGAAAAGAAAAACATCAAAAACCTGGTAAAGTGGTACAGCTCTATGAACATGAAATTCACACCAAAGAAACACAAACAGAAAATAACCTTCTGTGTGTTCTTCCCCAAGACCTCCAACTACAGGTTAGTCACGAGAAACCATCAGGTAAACCCAAATCCATTGATATGCTACAAAACACCTGAGCAGAATTTAAGCGTCAAGGTCATGAGAGATAAGGAAAGAAATGATCTAGGTCAAAGGAGACTAAGGAAAGACATTGACCCCATGTGATGAAGTACCTGGATCAATGCCTACTGCAAAACCAAGGGAGCAGAGTGGGAAGCAGATGTCTGCGGTTAGCTGACATTGCTGTACTAAAGTTAATTTCTTTGTGTTAATGATGGCACCATGATTATCTAAACATTAGCACCAGGGACAAAACGGGAAAGGAAACTCTGCATTCCTCTGCAGCGCTTAGGAAACTCCAAGCTGATTTAAAATGAAATGTGAAAAAACGTACACACAGTGATATTCACTCAGCATTGTTTGTCATTGCTGAATACTGGAAGCCACCTGAATGTTGCTATGTAGGATGAATATACCGTTGTACACAAGGGACAGGTGTGGAGCCATAAAAAGGAAGACAGCACCAGACATGACAGAAACAACCAAAGGAAAGGAAGATTTATGTTGGTTAAAGGAGGGAGACTGTATGGAGCACTCAAACCATGTCGGACAGGAAGCAGAGACCAACAGTGACATGAAGGGGCCAGAGCAAGACCCAGACCACAGGGACACGCCCCCAGTGACCTACTTCCTGAAGCCAGGCCCCGTCTTCCACAGTTCCAACGCTTCCCAACAGTCTGTTCAAATTTTGAATCCATCCATGGATTAAACCGTTGATTATCTCAGAGCCTCCTGATCTAATCACCTTTCAAGATCCCTCACAGACACACGCAGAGGTGGGCTCTACTATCTCAAATGTTTCATGATCCAATCAAATCAACAATCAAGATTAACCACCACAGGGTGAAACAGCAGAAGAAATCAGGTAAAAGAATCAAAGGAGGCAAAAAGTCTCTGAAATTGTTGATCAGAGGAGAAAAAGAGAAAAGAATGATGACAAGTGAGCAGAGCCTAAGGGACTTTAGGGGACACTGTCTCATGGGCCAGTATACACCAAGCAGTTCTCAGAAAGAGAAGGGAGAGAAAAGAGCAGAGATTCCTTGAAGATACAATGGCTGATAGTTTTGGTAATTCAAAGTAAGAAAGGGATAGACAAACAAGTTGAATGAATTCCGGACGGATCCCCACCATAGACACGCTGTAGTGAAACCATCAAAAGTCAAAGAGAATCTTCAAAACAGTAAGAGAAAAGCAACTTTCCATATACAAAGGAATCTCCATAAAATAATCATTGGCTTGCCCAACAGAAGCCATGCCAACTGGAAGGCGGTGGACTAAAAAGCTGAAATTAGAATTCTCAAGTAAGAATGCTGCTATCATTGGGATCTTAGGTGTCCCCCCAGCTCTGGGTGGGAAAGGCTTGCTCCCCAGGCTGACATTGGTGGGAGGTGGTGAGCATAAGGAGGTGGGACCTCGTGGGAGGTGCGCCCTTGAGGTCGATGCTGGGACTGAGCCTCTTCCTCTTTTTCTCTTTCACTTCCTGGCTGTGGAGTTGGTTTTGCTCCACCACACACTCCTGGCCCGATGCACCGCCTTGCCCAGGCCTAGCAGAATGGGCTATTAAGACTGGATCATGGACCAGAACTTCTGAAACCTTTCTCCGAATAAGTTGATGGTCTCAGGTATTTCTCATACTGACAGAAAGCTGATACAACTACTATGGTCAGCAAACCTGACTCTATTTTTATTTTTATTTTTTTTCATTTTTCTTTTATTATTCATATGTGCATACAAGGCTTGGTTTATTTCTCCCCCCTGCCCCCACCCCCTCCCTTACCACCCACTCCACCCCCTCCCGCTCCCCCCCTCAATACCCAGCAGAAACTATTTTGCCCTTATCTCTAATTTTGTTGTAGAGAGAGTATAAGCAATAATAGGAAGGAACAAGGGGTTTTGCTGGTTGAGATAAAGATAGCTATACAGGGCATTGACTCACATTGATTTCCTGTGTGTGGGTGTTACCTTCTAGGTTAATTCTTTTTGATCTAACCTTTTCTCTAGTACCTGGTCCCCTTTTCCTATTGGCCTCAGTTGCTTTAAGGTATCTGCTTTAGTTTCTCTGCGTTAAGGGCAACAAATGCTAGCTAGTTTTTTAGGTGTCTTACCCATCCTCACCCCTCCCTTGTGTGCTCTCGCTTTTATCATGTGCTCATAGTCCAATCCCATTGTTGTGTTTGCCCTTGATCTAATGTCCACATATGAGGGAGAACATACGATTTTTGGTTTTTTGAGCCAGGCTAACCTCACTCAGAATGATGTTCTCCAATTCCATCCATTTACCAGCGAATGATAACATTTCGTTCTTCTTCATGGCTGCATAAAATTCCATTGTGTATAGATACCACATTTTCTTAATCCATTCGTCAGTGGTGGGGCATCTTGGCTAGCAAACCTGACTTTAAAAAAAGAAAGAGAAATGAAGGCTCGCTCAGTTAAACAAAGCTGAGGCCCTTCAAGAACAAAATGAAAGGACTGCCCTCATAGCTGGCCAGACCCCAAGTTCTGGTGGACCTATGTAGCCTTCCCAAATTCCCTGGGCCTTACCAAGTCCCTAACCATGTGGGACTCAGCAGCCGGGGAGACCTCAGAAGCACCTCAGACACTGTTCCTCATCTTCCCCTTGTATTGGGGGGCTCTCATGTTTCTCTCTGCACTTTGGGTGCAGGTGTCAGGTTGGCAGCTCTTGGTTGTCCTGCTTTGGACTGTTTGAGCATTCTAAGTTTGTGGGGTTATTACTGTCACTGGTTTGGAATATTGCTCAACAATGACTCTTGCAATAGTGGCTCTCTTAATTTCTCTGTCCTCTTCTGTGAGGTTCTAATCATCTGTGTGCTTTCTATTTGACTGTCATCCATATGTCCCTTTATATCCACGTTCCATTCGTCTTCTAGATACCCTTCTCTCCTCCCTTATTTGCTTCCTCCTCCTCTTTTCCTCCCTCCTCCCCCTCCCCCCTCTTTCCTTGTTCCTCAGTCCTCCCTCAGGACACCTCCAACCTGGTCCTGGAGCCCCTCCCCCAGGTCTCTCCCTCTTTGTCCTGAGCCTCCCGCTCTCACTTTGGGACCACTTTTACCTTCAGCCCTTCTCCTTGGTCTACATGCTCCACTCCTGACAGGCCTTGATCTCCCAAGCCCCAGGGGTCTCCGTGACCACCCTGAACCCTTCCCCATTCACTCATGGCTCTTTATTTTTGTCATTTTCTGACTGTATTGAAATGGAAACTGTACCACATGCTTCCTGCCTCCCCTCTCTGTCCACATTGTGCCAGCAGCATCCAGCGTTACATTTGCAGGTTGCTTCAGGCCATTTCACCAGGCTTCAGTCTGTCCAAGAGAGTTGTGATTTCTGTTGGAAATGATATAGGGAACCTTCCTATTGTTTGTAGGGGTCTTCTTTCATTCCAAACGTGAGCATGTCCTCGTTAGTTATCCTTCCATGAGCAAATTCTGGCTTAATGCCTTTAAAGAGGAGGAAACCAACTCTGGACTTGGAGAAATTATCTCCTCCCTTGATCCAGCCATCCTTCTCTCTCATAATACTTTTGCCTAGAAGTCTGAACTGACAAATACCAGCACAGCTGCTTCCACTTTGCCTTTGTATAGCCTGCTCTTCTTCAGGCTGTGACTGGCTTGTGTCTCCTTTCTAAAGGTGTTATACACTCAAGAGTTCTACTAGTGGGGCTGCTAGGAAAAACTGCTTCAGTATGTAGTCAGCTTTCATGTAAGAGAGAATGTTTGCCTGTCACATACATCTTTCCTCCCTAGTTTGGCTGTCTCTTTTCCTGATATTTGTGTTGAAAGGCCAACCATCACTTTCGCAGTTGCTATACAAGGCCCTGTCTTTTGTTCTCATCTAGCTACTTCTCAGATTTTTCCTCTTTTCAAGTGTTTTTCATTGGATCCACTGTGACATGTCTAAGATTTATTTCCTTGAACTTGCTCTGCTTTGGACCGGTTGAGAATTCTAAGTTTGTGCGGTTATTACTGTCACTGGTTTTGGAACATTGCCCAACAATGACCCTTGCAAAAGTTCCTTTCTTCTTTTCTCTGTCCTCTTCTGGTGGTGCTCCAATCATCTGTGTGCTTCATATTTGATTGTCATCCATGTGTCCCTTTATATCCACGTTCCGTTCATCTCTCTTCTAGAGACCCTTCTTCCTGCTTTCAATTTCCTTTCCTCTTGAGTCAACTGGGCTGTTAATGCCATCAAGTGAATTTAAAAATATCAGATATTTTCTTTCTGTTCTAGGAATATCCATGATAATTTAGAAAGATTCCATTTCTCTGTAGAGGAGGGCCCATGGGCAGGGTGGGAGAAAGGATGGTGGGAGCAGGTAGCTGCAGAAAGGAGCCCTTGCCCTCCCTGATGAGTTGTGGCTCTTCTAATTTTCAGGTTCCCCATTCTTGCAGGAAATGATGCTCCCCTTCGCCTTACTCCTTGTTGTGGGGTTCCCGCACGTGGAAACCAACAGCAGCAATCCTCTTCAAAAATCTTGTGAGTGTGATCTCAAGACACTCACGTTTATGGGGGGATGTGAATTCAGCTGGGGCTAACCAGGGTCATTCCTCTGGAATTTGGGTCATCTGCACCAGCTGGGGTGTACATTGTCAGGGCAGTTGGGGGGTGTTCATGAGCAGGGAAGAGGGTCAGGGAGAAGGAGGCTTCACTCACAGAGCAGCTGACTAGACCTGAGGGAGAGTCTGGAAGTGGCACTTCCCCACAGGAACAGCAGGAGTAGTTGTGTCCAGGCAAATCCAGGAGGATGCAGGCCTCTCAGGTGTAACCTGCCTATCTGGGAGGCTGGGCGTGCTCTGCAGAGCTCAGCAGTCCCACACATGGCTGCCTGAGGGTGATCTTGAGGCTTCCTCTGAGAGCAGGAGAGCTCCATGGTAGGCCTGGCTCTTGTCCTGGGAGTTAGTCTTGCAGAAAATTGCACTACACCCAGGACTGAGCTTTAAGGGCTTAGGGAAGTCCTTGGGTGGAAGGTGGGGCCAGCTGTCAGAGGAGGGTGGAGTGGGCTGCTAATGGGTGAAAAGGGATGTTAGAGCCAAACTACAGTGCTGCTTTTTCTTCCACAGGGACCTTCAATCTGAAATGCCATGAGTGTTCGTCCATAAACAACTTCGGCTGTGAGACTTTAAGGACGTGTGTGTATGAAATTAGGCGCTGTATGACAATCGCCATCCGTAAGTATCCTTTTGACACTTGGGGGTTTATCACCCCACCTGAGCAACTTGAAGGGGAATGACCATTGTGTCTCTGCAGCCAGCCCTGCTATTACCCTTCTGTTATCTTCAAACTGGGGGCATGTTCACAGGCAAGGGGCTCAACCACTGATGGGACAGTGTGCATCAGCTTGTCGGCCAGGTATCTGCAAGATAGGGCAGGCAGTCCATGAGCCCATGATGTGTTCAGGGGCGGGAACGTTACTGGCCCGTGGGTCTCCCTATTCGTATGTGTTCACCCTGAGTGACTCTGTTGCCCATTTGGTTTGTGGCTGTGGGTAGGGAGTTTCCAACTAGCCAGGTACAAGCAGTGAACATGCCTTAACCCCTCAAGGTGATGCCTACCAACAGTGGGTGAGCACAAAGCCAGAGATCAGTCTGTTTCTGCTTCACACTCCACGGCCTCTAGTATCTGAGAGATGTGCCTCTCCCTACTGCCTTACCAGCCAGAGACCCAATTACCATTTCAGCAATCAGGGAGGGCAGCCATGTAGGCCCTGGTGGACAAGAGGGGGCCTTATCTGTGGCCGTGCTCAGGACTCTTGCTCTGTCCCCTGGTGGCCTCCAAATCCCCATGCGCAGTTGCTCTTGCAGCTTCACGTGGCATTCTGTGTTTCAAGAGCAGTGCCGAATGACCTACGGATTGTTCCTCCTTCATCATAAGGAGTGCCATTGCCCTGTGATTATCTGAGGTTTGGGACATGTGCAGGAGGCTGAAAATCTGGCTGTGTTCCCACAGGGAGCCACTAATGGGCGTCTCGAGAGGCTGTTTTCACTTGGAAATGAGTGCTCCTGAAGGAGCCTGGGCAGTGTTCTTCTTGGAATCTGCATCTCTCTATGACTCTGTTAGAGTTGGATTTGCAAGCCTGTAAAAGTAGAGACTAGCACTCTGGAAGGTCACTGGGGCCTTATACAATGACAGGTCTCTATTGTGATGATCTTCTTTCCATCACAGCAACATACACCTGAAATACCAGCTGACAATGAGAAAGGTTTGGTGGTTTCTGTGCATGAACAGCTGGACCCGTGACTTTGGCCTCTGACTCCACATCAGGGCAGGAGTATGTCGTGGAGGAAAGCATCTCACTTTGTGGCCAGAAAAAAAAAAAAAAACGGGGGGAGGAACAGGGACATCTGTTGTCCCCTTAAAGGCCATGACCTCAGTGGTCACCATTGGGAGCAACCAAGGAAAGAAGGGTACACAGGAGCGCTCTGAATTACTTCTTACAACTGAACCTGATTTCATTTGTCTTCACATGAAATACTTAATGAAAAAGAAATTAAGAACTAACATGTCCTTACATTAACATTAATCAGCCACATTTTGTAGCCTAGAACTTTTCAAGTGCACAAGAAAGAATATATTGTGTATTAGAGACATCCTTAAATGTTTCAACATAGTGTGAATTGATAGATTTAACCACTGCACGGAAATCCTTATGCACACACTCAGGCAAAGTCAGAATTCAATTACTTATGTGAACAGCAATATTTTATGGAAATACAGGACAGCACTACAAGGAAGGTGTCAAGATCTACATGTGAATGCTCGAAATAACAGAGAATGAAAGTGGATTTTAAATATGACAGTTTATGCCAAACACATTTTATGAAGCCAGTATTACACTTATCCCAAAACCAGGCAAAGACACCTCCAAAAAGGAGAACTACAGGCCAATCTCCTTAATGAACATTGATGCAAAAATCCTCAACAAAATAATGGCAAATCGAATTCAGCAACACATCAAAAAGATTATTCACCACGACCAAGTAGGCTTCATCCCAGGGATGCAGGGGTGGTTCAACATACGAAAATCAATAAACGTAATAAACCACCTTAACAGAAGCAAAGACAAAAACCACTTGATCATCTCAATAGATGCAGAAAAAGCCTTTGATAAGATCCAACACCATTTCATGATAAAAGCTCTAAGAAAACTAGGAATAGAAGGAAAGTTCCTCAACATTATAAAAGCTATATATGACACACCTACAGCCAGCATTATACTTAATGGAGAAAAGTTAAAACCATTCCCTCTAAAATCAGGAACCAGACAAGGGTGCCCACTATCTCCACTCCTATTCAACATAGTACTGGAATTCCTAGCCAGAGCAATTAGGCAAGAAGAAGGAATAAAAGGAATACAAATAGGTAAAGAAACTGTCAAAATATCCCTATTTGCAGACGACATGATCCTATACCTTAAAGACCCAAGAAACTCAACTCGGAAGCTCCTAGACACCATCAATAGCAACAGCAAGGTAGCAGGATATAAAATCAACATAGAAAAATCATTAGCATTTCTATACACTAACAATGAGCAAACGGAAAAAGAATGTATGAAAACAATTCCATTTACAATAGCCTCAAACAAAATCAAATACCTAGGTGTAAACATAACAAAAGATGTGAATGACCTCTACAAGGAAAACTATACACTTCTGAAGAAAGAGATTGAGGAAGACTATAGAAAGTGGAGAGATCTCCCATGCTCATGGATTGGTAGAATCAACGTAGTAAAAATGTCGATACTCCCCAAAGTAATCTACATGTTTAATGCGATTCCCATCAAAATTCCAATGACATTCATTAAAGAGATTGAAAAATCTACTGTTAAATTTATATGGAAACACAAGAGGCCACAAATAGCCAAGGCAATACTCAGTCAAAAGAACAATGCAGGAGGTATCACAATACCTGACTTCAAACTATATTACAAAGCAATAACAATAAAAACAGCATGGTACTGGCACAAAAACAGACATGAAGACCAGTGAAACAGAATAGAAGACCCAGATATGAAGCCACACAACTATAAGCAACTTATCTTTGACAAAGGAGCTAAAAATATACGATGGAGAAATAGCAGCCTCTTCAACAAAAACTGCTGGGAAAACTGGTTAGCAGTCTGTAAAAAACTGAAACTAGATCCATGTATATCACCCTATACCAAGATTAACTCAAAATGGATCAAGGATCTTAATATCAGACCATAAACTCTTAAGTTGGTACAGGAAAGAGTAGGAAATACTCTGGAATTAATAGGTATAGGCAAGAACTTTCTCAATGAAACCCCAGCAGCTCAGCAACTAAGAGATAGCATAGATAAATGGGACCTCATAAAACTAAAAAGCTTCTGTTCATCAAAAGAAATGGTCTCTAAACTGAAGAGAACACCCACAGAGTGGGAGAAAATATTTGCCAACTATACATCAGACAAAGGACTGATAACCAGAATATACAGGGAACTTAAAAAACTAAATTCTCCCAAAACTAATGAACCAATAAAGAAATGGGCAAGTGAACTAAACAGAACTTTCTCAAAAGAAGAAATTCAAATGGCCAGAAAACACATGAAAAAATGCTCACCATCTCTAGCAATAAAGGAAATGCAAATTAAAACCACACTAAGATTCCACCTCACCCCTGTTAGAATAGCCATCATCAGCAACACCACCAACAACAGGTGTTGGCGAGGATGCGGGGAAAAAGGAACCCTCTTACACTGTTGGTGGGAATGTAACTAGTACAACCACTCTGGAAAAAAATTTGGAGGCTACTTAAAAAGCTGGACATCGATCTACCATTTGATCCAGCAATACCACTCTTGGGGATATACCAAAAGACTGTTACTCCAGAGGCACCTGCACATCCATGTTTATTGCGGCACTATTCACAATAGCCAAGTTATGGAAACAGCCAAGATGCCCCAGCACTGACGAATGGATTAAGAAAATGTGGTATCTATACACAATGGAATTTTATGCAGCCATGAAGAAGAACGAAATGTTATCATTCGCTGGTAAATGGATGGAATTGGAGAACATCATTCTGAGTGAGGTTAGCCTGGCTTTTAAAAAACCAAAAATCGTATGTTCTCCCTCATATGTGGACATTAGATCAAGGGCAAACACAACAAGGGGACTGGACTTTGAGCACATGATAAAAGCGAGAGCACACAAGGGAGGGGTGAGGATAGGTAAGACACCTAAAAAACTAGCTAGCATTTGTTGCTCTTAACGCAGAGAAACTAAAGCAGATACTTTAAAGCAACTGAGGCCAATAGGAAAAGGGGAACAGGTACTAGAGAAAAGGTGAGATAAAAAAGAATTAACGTAGAAGGTAACACCCATGCGCAGGAAATCAATGTGAGTCAATGCCCTGTATAGCTATCCTTATCTCAACCTGCAAAAACCCTTGTTCCTTCCTATTATTGCTTATACTCTCTCTACAACAAAATTAGAAATAAGGGCAAAATAGTTTCTGCTGGGTATTGAGGGGGGGGAGAGGGAGGGGGCGGAGTGGGTGGTAAGGGAGGGGGTGGGGGCAGGGGGGAGAAATGAACCAAGCCTTGTATGCACATATGAATAATAAAAGAAAAATGAAAAAAAAATATGACAGTTTATGACTGTCATAAAAGACAAAGCTGTCATTTTTTGCCTTCCAGTATTTATTCTCAGGAGAAAACAAAGCTAGCTACATGAGTTTCATCACCTGCATCACACAGTTGTATTTGGATGCTGTGAGATACAGAAAGAAGGAAGTGACACCCCCCCTCCCCCCCGCTAATTGACTTGGTCATGAGAGACATTCATCTCAATATCCTGTGTTTTCAACTATACATTGACAATTAACATTCAGGTCAATGACTGAATTACTGTAGAATTTTCAGGTCTAAAAAACAGTTTTGTATACTAAATATGATTAAGAAATATGCTAGGATGTCTTAGAAATATAACAATTAAAGCTTGTAATACTAATACTACAGTAAACTTTATTTAACCATTTTATGTGCACGTTAGAATTTACCAAGTGATTTAGATGAGTTGTGTTATTTAATCCTAGTGAATTCAAATGGTAGCAGACTTGCACAAGAGTGCATACAGATTGGATTCACGTGAGCTCTTCTGACTTCTGATCTTTTGCTTTCATTCTATAAAATGTCATATTCTTCAAGAACTCAAAGTAGTTTTTTTCTACTACACGTTAAGCTAGTTTGTAGGTCATTACGGTATCTACTCTCAAGTTGTCATTTTAAACGCTTCTCTACATAGCTTCTGGATGCTATGAGGAAACAAAACTGACTATGGCTATAGACCAGGTACTGTTGAACTTTTTCTGGAAAGGACCAGATAGTAAATGATTTCAGCTTTGCAGACCATCTAGACACTGTTGAAATCACCCAGTTCTGCCTTCATAAAGGCAGAAGTGGCCATAGATGGCAAGAAAACATGTTCCAGGAAGTGTTTGTGTACAGATACACCCATCAGAGGGATATGTTATCAGAAAGAAATTGCATCTGATAGAAATGATAATTAAACGAGAATGGTGGGCATACAATTGTCTCGAGGTGAAAAATGAGATAAGCTGTCTCTTGCCACCTCCTGTGTTCCCCAGGCAATTGAAGCTCTCACTTCAGTTCGGCCAATGGAAGAGTTAAATGCACTGGGATTGGAAGTAGAGAAATTGACCTGCTGTTAGTCTTCACCAAAGACAACAAACTTTATCCAAGAATGACTGGCTTTATCATGGACACTGTGTAGACAGGAAGTATTTTACAAAACAATATAAGAGGACCAGTTTTCTTCCATTATCACAAGAAACAACTAGTAAAATTTATGCAACAATACCATTTTTAAAAGTACCAGAAAATCAGCATGTAGAAAGACATCTAATGAAGTTTTGCAAGTTTTCAACACTGCAAATGCCAAACAACTGTTGAGATCAAAGACTGAAACACCTGGAAGGACATACAATGTGTGTGGGTCGTGACACAAGGTAGAATAAAGGTAGCTATTCTTAGGCTGGAGGAGTAGCTCAAGTGGGAGAGCACCTGCCTAACAAGTGTGAGGCTTTGAGTTCAAACCCCACTACCACTAAAAACAAAGAAAAAAGGAGATAGCTGTTCTCAAATTAATCTGCAAGTAAATAAAATCCCAACCAGAATCTCAACAGGAGTGACGGATGGGTGGGTACACACCTGTGCTTGTGTTTTGAGAAGTTGATTCTGAGTATTTATTGAAATATAAAGGGCTCGGAATGGCCAAGGCAGTCTTACAGGGCGGGGGATGCTGCAGGATGGGTGCTCTGAACGCTCAGTATCTTTTGTTTGGTTTGACTAGTGAGGACAGTGTTGCACTGTATCAAGACTGGAAAAGTAATATTAGAAGAGGAACAAGCACAGGTAGTGAGTTCTACACCCCGATGGTGCTGTCACGCAGTGCAGGGAGGAAGCTGCTGCTGACATTAGGTAGTGATGTGTACACTAGGTGTCCATTTACAGTACCTGCACTGTGCAGCTCTCAGTGTAAATGCTGAACCAACAGAGCATTTAGAGGAAAATGTAGAACATATTTGTGTCCTTTCTGTAATTAAGAATTTAAGAACCGAACCAAACGGTGCTACTCCCATTCTAATACAATTGATAATTTGGATTATATTAATTGTCACAACTTCTCCTAAGAAGAGACCAATAAAAAAGTAAAATGCTAGCCATAGATGAGAATAAAGCGTTTCCAAACCTGTGTCTGCCACAAGATTGCTCGTCATATTTACTGAACTTCCCACAGATCAGTCAATGAAAAGCAGATCATCCAACAGAAATTTGAAGAAAAGACATAAAGGACATGTACCAGAAAATGCTATTTGAATGAGTAACAGATGTAAGAAAGTTGCTTGGTGTCATCTCCTTGAGGAAAATGCAGGTTAAAACCACACCATGGTAACACTTGACTAATATCCAACAAGACCACACCAAGTTGTCACAGTTTTGAAGTGTACAATCCTTTGGAGTAGAGACAGATCCAACCTCATCTGGAAAAATTTTAAACTACTGGCTAAAGCTGTCCTATGCAGAAGAAAATTCCAGGATTTCTCCTATGTACATACATAATAAAACACGTAGCCAGGGCTCACCATAAGTCAATACAAGAATATTTATTGGAGGACTCCTAGGAGTAGAGGAAACCCTGAAACAACTTTAATGTCATCAGTATAGACTGGCATAGTCACCAATGGGATTGTACAGCTCAGTAAGAGTGAGGGATATACAATAGGCGCAATAGGGTTGTGTTCCACTCACGGTGTTCAGTCGGGAGCCACCCCCAGTAGCGTACATAACGCATGACTTCTTGTTTGTACCATTCAAGACTAGGGAAAACTAAGACGTGGGCTGGAAAGCCGTGTCCCTCTTGACTTTGGCTGCTCAAAGCAGTGTCTGAGTGGAACAACAGAAGAAGGAGTCTGGGGCTTCCTTACAGCTCTAGCTCTGATTTTAGGGCTGGATCTGATGACAGTTGCATGCACACTGTGAAAACCTATTGAGCTTTTAATGATTGCACCTTATTCTGTAGAAGGTTGAGCTTCAGTGCACGCTTTACATGGAAAAGAAAAGAAAATGACTGACTTGATTTGGTCACGCAGCAAGACCCAGAGCCATGGATGACTGACTCATTTATGGCAAGTTTCAGAATAAATGATCTGTGTAAACACTAGAGACCACAAGGGGAAGAGATTGTCGCCCGGTGCAAACTGTTTAATCTGGGATTCTTGACGGAGGTCTCTGGTGGACCTCTGGTGGAGCTACCTCAACCAGGTAGCTCTGGTTGACCCAGGCCAGTAGTGATGGTGATCACATTAGTTGTGAGCCCTCGAGCGTAGACCCTCTGGTGAGGCCATCACATTGCTTGTGGAACTCTATTTGAAAGGGGGCATCCAGCCTGTGCTGGGAAGGAAGTTGGTGTGAAGGGACATCGACATGTGTCTGTGTTAGTGCAGGAGCTTGGGATACCAGGCAGAGGGCTGAGAAGGAGCTTCTATTTGGAGTTGGTTCCAGCTGCAGGAAGTGAGTGAAATGTAACATCAACATGTGCACTCTTCTTAAACAGCTGTGGAGTCTCTGGGACATTAGGAAAGCCTGATTCACGGTCTCCATTCAATTTATACAGCTCTGCAATGGTTAGGGGAAAAAGGCATCAGGACATCGCATTTGTATAGCTACATGACACCAGGATACCATGTTGGGAGGGACAGAGGCAGAGGTAAAGATGACAGCATAAGTTAAAACACCTTTGGAAGAAGTTTTCTTGGAGCAGTCAGCCACTCTTATGGAGTTGTCTCCCCATGAAGAATTTAAGGCAATGACATAACATTTGGGAATGTAGAGTGTATGCATACACCTAGTTATGGTTGAATGTGCTTTGGTGTTTACCATCAGAAACCAATAATATTCATCTCTTCTTTTCTAGGTTTGAACTCTCGTGAGCTACTCGTTTACAAGAACTGTACTTGGAACTGCACGTTTGTATATGCAAGGGACTTGCCTCCTGAAACCCCAAGAAAACTCCCGAGAACGAATAGTTTCTTTTTTACCTTTTGTTGTAGTGGTATGACTTGCAATTCAGGAGGACCTTCTAATGTTGAGAGGGACTTGTTGACAGATTACACCACTGAGGAAGATCTGCCAGAAGGGACCATGCGCTTGGGGCAGTCTCAGCTTTTCCTGAGCCTCGCCTCCCTCCTGGTCAGCAGCACACTGTTGTGAAAGTCCTCCTCGGAGGGTCTGTTCCTCTCCCCCCGGTGCTTGGAGCACTTTGCTTTGTTGCTCCGTTGTGAACCAGGGACACCGATCTCTCAGCCCCCAGTTGGCTTTTTGTAAGAAAGCAATAAAGAGCGTTGTTGGTTGAAAACATTCCGGAATGTTTGTTTCCTCGTGTATACTGAGGTACCCACAGTGGGGATTCTCCTCTGGATCTGCTCCTTTCTCCCCTGCTACGCCTCAGGAACGAGTCTGTGGTCTGGTTATTTGAATGATCTTTTCTCCTTCAGACATGGTGGACTAAATATTCATTGTGCAATTTTGTCAAGTGTGTTTTGTTTTTGCACACAGAGATTGGGTAGTTTAGTCAAAAGACAAAATGCTTACGTGCTAATCTACATGTGGGCTGATAGGTCCCAGCTCTGCTCAGAGCATGGGTAGTGGAACCACCTGAGACTGGCCATCCTTGCAGCGCTCAGGTGTGTGTGGGGAGGGGAAGCAGGGAGGGTGCCTGGCAGTGAGCAGGACCTAGATCATCAGGGCCTGACATTCATGGCTGTGTTTAGTGGCCTGTGAAGTCAGACAGGCTCTGCAGAATCTGGTTGTCTTTGCAATGCCACCTGCCTCATGGAAGTGACACAATTCTTCCCCAAGTGCTAGCACCAGAGAAAGAGGACCTATTTGGTGAGGTTCTCTTTGGCTTAAAAATGTTTAGAAAATGTGTTTGTGTTTATGGAGAGAGAGAGAAAGAGAGAGAGAGAGGTGTGATTTAAAGTTGATCACATCTATGACCTCTCAAAACAGGAATTTGCACTGATGTTGGAACAAATGACTGAGGACCATAGCTTTGCTACGTAGAAACAATCGTTCAGTGCCCTGGGCATTTTATGGCCATGCTAGACAACACGTGGGCTCTGAGTGGCTGCTGTCGGGTGGCAGAGTGTGGTGAAAGACCTCGACATTGTAACATGCATCAGGGCTCTGCTCCCTTTTTGCTGATTTATTGATTATGTTTAAAAGCTTTTGTGAGCTGTAAATCACATACCATACGATTCACGAGTTTGATAATGTGCACAATTTGTATATTGACATTGCTACAGTCAGTCTTGGAACAATGACCTCAAAAATAAGCCCCAGACCCCTTATCCAGTCCTCCACCCCCGCTCTGCACTAAACAGGGCCACCTCCATTTCCAGACAGCCATGACTGCATTTTCTCTGAAGAGCTCCAAAGAATGACAGGAACACGTGGTCTTTGTAACTGATGTCTTTAAGGTAGCAACGATTCCAAGGCTAGCCCATGCTGCAGCTTAGGTTAGTGCGTAATTTTTAGCTCTCAATAATATGTCAGGGAATATGTCAGGTGTTGTTTATCCATTCATTGACGGTACACCATTCTGAATAATGATGCTAAATCACTCGTGTGTTTTTTGGTGTGGACAATTGTTTTAGATCCTCTTGTGTACAAGCCTGGTTGTGGAGTTGGTGGATCCCATGATAACTCCATACACACTCCTATGAAAAGCTGTCAGCTGCTTTTCAAGGTGGCGGTGCCATTCTGTATTCCTGACAGCAGGTGGCGCTCTGCAGCCCTTGTTATCTCACTGTGCATCTGGCATTCTGTTGGCTGTGAGGTGCCCCTGGCTGTGGTTTGCTTTGCAGTTTCCCTCTAACTGTCCAGACAGCAGCTTTTCAGGGGCTTATTGTCCATTGGTGCATCTTCCATGGAGAAATTCCAATTGAAATCACTTGCCATTTTAAAAGTAGGTTCTGGACTCTTCCCTCCAGATCTGATGCCCTCTTCCCCATTCTGGAACCTTTCCAGAGGGTCAGATGCCCCCAGTCCCTCTTCGGGAAGGTGACAGAGGAGCCGGAACACATCAACAGGTATTCTGGCAAAGATACCTTGACTGCATGTGTCCTCACAGTAGACACTTGAGACTCTGGGGGACAAAGAGGAACACCTGTGCCATGTGTTTTCAAACATTTTGGTGCTTTTTTTTTTTTTGTGGCAGTACAGTGGTTTGAACTCAGGGCTTCTCTCTTGCTAGGCAGGCACTGTACCACTGGAGCCACAACTCAGCCCTTTTTGTTTTAATTGTTGTTCTAATAGGGTCTCATATTTTTCATCTGGATTGAAATCCTCCTACCTATGCCTCTCGTGTAGATGAGATTACAGACATAGGTCACAACACCTGACTTGTTGGTCAAAATGGGGTCTCACTTTTTCCCCGGGCTTTGACTTTTCGATGGCACCCACTCTACAGGTGTCAGGTGATACCTCATCGAGGTTTTAACTTGAATGGTTAGCGATGCTGCATCTTCTGGGCATTTGTATGTATTTTGAGAAGTGTTCCCTTGCCCATGTGTTAACCTGGTATTTGTTTTTCTGCTGTTGAGTTGGATATTAAGGTGTGTGATTTACCAGATGTGTACTTGTTGTATATTTTCTTCCATCCTTCAGGTTGTCTCTTCAGTCCATTGACAGGCTCTTTGGCTGTGCAGAAGATTTGTAGTCTGATGCATTTCTGTGTGTGGAATACAAAGGTGAATGAGTTGTTAGTCATGTGTTAGGTGGGAGGATGACCTTGATATTGTTTTTACTTGGACACTACCTGTGGTTTAAGGAGCCATGTGCAAGTGCCCAGGTGACAAGATGGGTGTGTCCCAAAGTTCCAGAGGTGAGGAGTTCAAGATCGAGGCGTCAGCAGTGTAGGTTTCTCTACCTGGATTGCAGGTGGCTGTCTTACCTGCGAGCCCAATGGCCATTTCTCTGTGCAGGTGACCTCCTGCTTTCTCCTTCTCTTCTGTAAGGACACTAGGATTAGGACTTCACGCATGGGATCTCCTTTACCCTTCATTGCCTCTTTAGAAGCGGTGTCTACGTATGAATTTGGAGAGGGCCACCACCAGTCCATTAAGTAAAACACACATGCAGATATTACTATGGAGGCATTGTTAGGTATGAATAAGATTTAAATCACCAGGCTTTGTGAAACATAAATCCTGCTCCATAGTGAGTGTGTGCCTCAGTCAAACTCTTAGGCTGAGGAAAGAAGGAGAAAAGCCAAGGGTCCCTGAGGTTGGAGGGTAACTGCTTCTGAGAGCTTTTCCATGGGGTCTGCAAAATCTACTTTCCTCTGGGTCTTCAGACACCCACCCTGCCCTGCACATTTTGAAATTTCCTGAGCCCAAAATCATGACATAATTATTTAAGATAAATGTCTCTATCTCCATTTGTGTACATATTTATCTCCTATTGGTTTTATTTTTCTACAGCTTTGACTTAAACAAGATAAATTCATCTAAAATGTAAAGCAATTACACATAGCCACACCAATGACAGCAATATTCTCAACACTGATGGGAAAAATAGAGTGGGACAAAGTGTGCGTCTTATATGAAAGCTTTCTAGAGCAATGGAGTGATCAAAACAGTTTAGTGACAGACACAGAGACCAAGGAAATAGGACTGAGCATCCATAAGTAACCCATGCACCTATGACCAACTGATTTTCTACAAGTTTGCCAAGTGCACACATTGAAAAAAACATGATGGCAAGTTTTCTAAAGGGGACCTTTTAGGAACAGAGCACTGGCTGTACAAACTTCTCTAGCTCACAGGAGAAGTGTCTGGAGTCACCAGTCTAGGTGGGAATCCAACCTTGAACTCTTGGAAAATATATTGATGTTTCTACGAGTGAACATGGACAGGGTGGAAGAAATCACTTGTGTTGGAGGCCAGAGTTGAGGAATAGCATGGAATGCGGCTCTGAGCAGCCTGACAACAGCGTGCTCAAGGATGACCTCCTCATCACGGAGAAAACCTTCAGTCTTTCAGCATCAGCGATATCAGAGACATTTGTGGGATTTTCATAGGTGACCCTTATTTTCTTGACATTAATTTTTTTCTATTCCTACCTTGTTGACATTTGATGATGAAACAGTGTTGTATTTTGTCAAATGCTCTGTTTTGTTTCACTTCAAGTGATCCTGTGTTTTCTGATTTTGACATTTGGTGTATGATGCTGATTGCTTTTCTTGGGTCAAACCATCCTTGCACTAGAGTACTACATCACTCTTGATCACAGTGCAAAATGCTTATAATATGTTGCTGGATTCAGTTTGTAATTTGCTGAGAGTCTTTCCACCAGTAATTATAAAGGATTTGGTTCTGTGGTTTCTTTTTTCTACTGGCTTTGGTGTCAGGGTAACACCGGCCTGACAGAAGGCATATGGAAAAGTGCCCTTCCCTTCTGTTGTTGGAGGATTCAAAGGAGTGGTGTAAGTTCTCCTTTAAATGCTTGGTAGAATTCACCAGTGAAGCCATCTGGTCTAAAGGAGTTGTCTAAGATAGGAATCGTCTGGTTTTGGTATCAGGGTGTCACTGCCCCATGGAATGAGTTAGAAGTGTTGTCAACTCTTTTGCTCTTTGAAAAAGTGTGTTAATAATTGACATTAGTTTTTTTAAAAATGTAGTAGGATTCAACAGAAAATCACCAAGGCCTGGATTTTCCTTGAGGAAGGTTCTAATTAATACTTTAATCTTTACTTGTTCTAGGTTTATTCGTACTGCACATTTCATCTTGAGTTGTATCGTGATGTTATTTCTTTTAGAAACTTATCAATTTCATCTGAATGAATTCACGGGCATATTATGTACATGGTGCTTTCCTACTGTCATTTTTCGCTGTAATGCTGGAGTTAATCCCTATTCTCCCAGTTACATGGCAGTTATTTGTACTTTATTGCTCTTTTTTCATGCTAAATCAAGGTATGTGTTCATTTTAATTAATCGATTGATTAATCAATTGATTTTTTAAACCTGCTGTGGGTTTCATTGATGTTTCTCTGTTTACTTTCCTGTTGTGTATTTCATTTGTTTCTTGTAATCATTGTCATTTCCTTTCTTCTGCTCACTGTACCTTTTCTTTTCTCTCCAGCGTGATGAGGTGGAAGTCTACATTTCTGATTTCAGATCTTTCTTCTTTCATAACAGATATTTGCA